TTGGTGTACTTCGTTGGTTTACGTATTGCTGATTCACTAAAATCTAGAATGTTGGGAAGAGGAATTTGAACTACGGAATTTATTTTATACTTCTTGCAGGAAGAAATGTATTTCGTGTTGTTTTATGGTAATAAAATGAGGTAGAGTTTGTTTTATTATTTTTAGCTAAATTATAGTTATAGATATAGAAATAAAATGTATTAGAATAAATTATTTTTTTTTTTTTTTAATTATTTCTTATAAGTTTGCATTTTATTACAATACCCTCAAAGGAGGTTTATTTTGCCAAGATATGAACATATATAAAATATATTTATAATATTTTTTTTTTTTTTTTTTTTTTTTTTTTTTTTTTTTTTTGGATTTAAAATAAAATAAAATGTCTGCTGTACAAGTTATTTTTTTTTTGAATTTATTTTTTTTTTTTTTTTTTTTTTTTTTTTTTTAAGAAATTATTTTCTTTTACACAAGAAACAATAATTAAAAAACCTTTAAACAAGTTGAGAATAATAAATTATCTTTTATCTCAAAGCTTCACCATTTTAAAATTAAAATTATTAGCTAAATTTTAACAGGTGGTGACATCTTTTGACTAGAAGCTACACTCCTTATACTTGGTCTACAGATTAAGAATATCTATGTGTGGTCTGTATAAAAAGTCTGTATCGATGTCTGTATGTTTAGTTGCCTAATGAATTTAAAATCCAAATGTAATATAACCATAACCACATTTTATTTTATTCCTCAAACATTCTGTGGAGGCATTTTACATTTTTAGAGGTATTTAATTGTCTGTGTATTTATAAAAGGTTAAGAAAAACTAGGGTAGGTGTGCTACTAACGTAACGGTTTAGAACTATGAGGCAGATAAAAGCATACAGAGTATGAAGGCACCAAGGGTTCTGTGATGTTCCTCAAAGGTTTTGATTTTTTGTTTACATTTTGGGTGGTTAGAGGGCAAAATGCCCCTAAAATTATTCTAGATCACATAAGTATGTTCTAGATCGATCAAGAATTGTCTGTACACAAAACTCATTTTTTGCTGTCCACATTCAAATAGAACATAACTTATAGAAACACTAGTCATTCTTTCCCCAAGAGAATGGCATTGTTTCCCCTAAAAGTCTTAATCGATGTCCGAACAATAGAGAGCAATATTAGAGATATTTTTGGCTAAGCTTTTAATCTCTGCAAAATCTCACATTTTAAAATGTAGGATCCTCTTATGAAGATGCTTAACTTAGCAGAAGAGAATGGGGCTTGTGTAGTTCATATATGATGCAGGTGAACTATTCTGTTTATGTTAGTATTAACTCCATGAAACAGTTCTAATTTTTCAGATCAATCATCTGCCCTAAATTGGACGCATTGTGCTACTGAAGACTTACTCAGACTTTATTCGGAATATAATGTGGTTATGAAAATAATAAGAGCAGATAATATTTTAAAATTTTTTTTTTTTTTTAATACATTTTGACACAAACAGTAAGCCCAATGCCTTAATAGATGGAAGAGTCTAAAGAGAAGTTATAGAAGTAAACTTGAAAACAGTATGAGTGGAAAACCTAATGGTAAAAGTGGCGAGTTTTGATGGGTAAAATTTATTTGTTTCGAAAGGTGCAGTTTCTTTAAACAATTGAACTTTAACAGGTAGAAAATATTTAAAAAGAGAGCTGAACAGAAAGAAATTATACAAAATATCTAAAATTTCCGGAAGGATATTATGGGTCACAATGAGAAAGAAAGAAATTGATGAGAGAATGGAATATGTGAGAACAGGTGATGCATTACATTTTCAAGATTTCTTAGTGATAGAGACACAGAAGTAAATACTTCTAGAACATATGAATCAAATAATATAGAGGTTGTCTATGGGGTGGAGGATGAACCAGATCACACTTATTCTTTTAAGACTTCTTCAAACAAATCACATCATTCGGTGGCTGAAAAATTATCAGAGTTGAAAGACATTGTTAAAGCCAGTTTAGAAGTCAATGTACAACTGCTAAAACGTAATAATTTAACTACAGAACAAATAGCAACGTATCTGGAAAGTCTGGAAAGGAAAGAAGAGGAGAAATTATCTATTAAGAGGAAAAAACTTGAAAGACAAACCGAATTGGTTCAACAAATAGGAAAACAGAATAGCTTAAATATAAAAGTGATACACAAAGTTAGGACAAAACACGTAATATAACTATGTTTAGTTTTGTGTAAAAATTTAGAGCAAACAGAATTCGGAGAGACAGGAGAATAATTTATTTGATAAAAAATTTAAAAACACTAAATTGTCAATCATTATCCTTCCTTTATTGACTGAATAAAATAAATACTAGAAATTATAATTAAGTATGGTTAATTGAAAATCCATGATGAATTTTTGCCTATATAGGTACCTACTACCTATTACAGTTGAGTTGGAACTTGGTGTTACAACATTTCATTAAATTACCACAAAAAACACTTATTAATTATGCAAATGTCATCGATCTACATTTCCAAGCCAGCGTTGCAGTTTTTTTCGATCATACGGTAGAATTATTTACTTATAGTGGCTAAAATACTGTTTGATTGAAAATGTAAGCAAGTTGGCACGAACATGACGATCGATGACTTCCACCAAATTTTTTACGTATGATTTCAATTTCCAAGCCAACTATGACACCGATTTTTTTCTTCGATCTTATAGTATTTTTACACGCAAATGTGAGAACTCTATTAATCATTTTGACAAGATCATGGTCTTTATTTATGATGAATGATGTTTGTCTTTTAATTTGTTGTGTAAATATTCCACAAAAATTGTCACCTGTAAATATTAACCTATTGATTTTTGTTATTTTCTAGAACAATAAAAAAGACACTGAAATCATACACAATGTTTTATTACATTTGTTAACAATATTTATTCTTAATATTAAGTTGTATAATGAATAACCAAAGAACATCAAAAACACAAAACAGTTACACTAAAGGGAAAACAAATTTTGGAAGTAAATAAAATATGGAGTAGGTAAAAAAAAGTGTTCTGGGACACGAGCCCAACTTAGTTGGCGGTGTTGAAGTATTCCTTGCTCTTGTCCACTGTTGGTTTGATGGTTTTCTTGCCCGGAGTCCAGCCGGCTGGACACACCTCACCGTGTTCATCAGTGAATTGGAAGGCTTGAACCAAACGGAGGGTCTCGTCAACCGAACGACCTACTGGCAAGTCGTTGACCGTGACCTGACGAAGGGTTCCTGAAAGAAAACGATCAAATTATAGAATGAGCAAAAAGAAATTATAAAATATTTATATTTTATTAAGTAACAAATTAATAGAGATTGTCATCACTGTCAAAATCTATTTCATCAAGTTAATATTTATTATTATTTACTATTTTTAATAAATATAGACAAATAATTTCTTTACTTATTATACAGGGTGGTCCGAACTGTATTCCGGAAACTTCGGCAGCATATTCTGCAGATAAAAATAAGTAAAAAAGTTTGTATAAATGTATGTCCTAAAATGCTTAGTTTCGGAGATACAGGGTGTGGAAATTTTATTTTTATTTCGATTTTTTACAAATAATTTAAGAAGTAACGTCAATATTTGGATGAAAATTGGCGTCTGGAGCCCCGTTCTCAGAACGACGTCGTGTCGCGGGCGACACAGTTTGACATTTCAAACAACCAATCAGAACTGTACTAAATTTAAAATTGATAGTTGTTTGAATTTTGTACAAATCTCATTGGTGCTTTTGACGTGTCGCTGGCGACAGTCGCTGTTCTGAGAACGGGGCTTCAGAACGACGTCGTGTCGCGGGCGACACAGTTTGACATTTCAAACAACCAATCAGAACTGTACTAAATTTAAAATTGATAGTTGTTTGAATTTTGTACAAATCTCATTGGTGCTTTTGAAGTGTCGCTGGCGACAGTCGCAGTTCTGAGAATGGGGCTTGGGAGTTTTTTGACATGAGAAATTTGATTTTCATGTCTATATGACCAGAGTACCTAAACCGGCGAGTAGCGACAGTCCCGTTTTCAATTTTCTTTGCGGCTGCGCGAAATAAGTAGGTTATCTGCCATACGAAGAAGCGAAGTTGCCACTGTTGCCATTTATCAAATATCTCTATATACTTTATTTCAAGTATACCTCAGGCAACGAATCGTTTTTTAAATTATTTATTAGCAGTAAGATATTTTATACATTCAAATTTAGAAATAAGGATAAAACAAAACAAAAAAGATATGTATAAAACTTTATAATTAATTCCACTTCAAATTGTGAGCAGTGTATACCATGTTTATAGGACCACTTCATAAGTTGAGTGCAGTTAAATACGTAGTCTATCTTGTCAAACACGTCAAAAGAGAGAGAAAAGAAAATTTGGTCCCACCACATCAAAAGAGCCGACGGTTTCTGTCGCTACTCGGCGATCTCAAACTCTGATATGACTCCCTACTAGAGGGCGCCACCTACATATGCTTTAACTGGTTTGAAGAGTAATAACTTTTCGTCCATATAAAACCACTGAGTAAAAGAATATACATTTACAACTTTTTTTACATAAAAAGTCTCTTGGTAAAAATCGCTACGAGTAATGGTTCTCGAGATATTTGAAATTGAAATTATCAATACCTGTCATCATTGACGAATTAAACATGTTGACTAAATAGTTATTAGACTGAAATCTTAAATTTGAAATATTTTTGTGCCAAAAGTTCAACAGAAACTGTTATGATTAATTTAAAAAAATAAAAATTTATTATTTCAGTTAAATAACTCTGTGTGTGTGCTTATTTTTTGTCAATTAAATATCTCGAGAACGGTTGCTCGTAGCGATTTTTACCAAGAGACATTTTTTACGTAAAAAGTCATGAAAATGTATATCTTTTTAACCAGTAGTTTTATACAGGTACGGACGAAAAGTTATTACTCTTCAAAACAGTCAAAACGCATGTAGGTGGCGCCCCCTATAAATAAGTCATTTTGACATCAAAATCAAATTTCTCGTGTCACAAAACTCCCAGACACCAATTTTTATCCAAATATTGACGTTATTTCAGAAATTATTTAGAAAAAATCGAAATAAAAATGAAACTTCTACACCCTGTATCTCCGAAACTAAGTATTTTAGGACATACATTTATACAAACTTTTTTACTATTTTTATCTGCAGAAGTTTCCGGAATACAGTTCGGACCACCTTGTATACTAATAGTGTTTTTTAGACGGACGATCGACTGGAAAATTGACGTCAATAAGTTTCGATCTTCGTTTTACCTGACAAGCAAAACCGACAGGTAAAACGTTAGGTGTAGCCGAGGCTTTATATATGAGCCCAATACGTACCCTTTGGATCGATGATGAACAATCCACGAAAAGCGATACCGCTCGATTCATCTAAAACTCCGTAAGCTTTAGCAATGGCCATACTCTTGTCGGCCAAAAGGGGGATTTGCATTTCACCCAAACCTCCCTGTTTACGGGGGGTGTTGATCCATGCCAAATGGGAGAAATGACTGTCAGTGGACACTCTAAAAACATAATTAGTCAAGGTCAATTCAAAGGCTACTTTGATGCCGTTTTTCTAAAGGACATCTAAATAAAGGGAGACAAAACTGTTTACATTTTGTCGCGACAAAACATCGTTTTCAACAAAAGTCGAATAACAAAAGGAATCTAAGGTTTGTGTTTGAGAACGAAGTATGTTATTATTGATATTAATGTTTTTTTGGGGTACCTGTAGAACAGGCGTACTAAATATATATGTAGGTATATCGTTCTTTAGTTAAAATACATAGAACATACAATTGAAATTATTTTTAATTTTCTAACAACGTTGCCATATTTATGTACCCATCTCTTTTTAACCCACATAAATGTGCTAAAGTATGTATGATTGTAAACAAATAAAATTTTATGAATGGACTATTTTGTCTCCCCTTCATTTAGCTGTTTTTGAATCTTACCCAATAACTGCAGTGTTAATCTTCTTGAATTCTTCAGCTCTGTCGGAGAAGGCGATGATTTCAGTTGGGCAGACAAAAGTGAAATCGAGAGGGTAGAAGAATAATACTACATATTGGCCTGCAAATGTACAATATTAGGGCAAATTTTGACAAATAATTTTAAGTTTGTACCTTTAGAGATCTTCAATTTGATGTCTAGCGAAGTCGCCTTTAATTACAGCGGTACCGCTGAAAGATGGTGCACAGGTTTTGTAGTGAATTGGAGTCATGTTGAATATCTACAGAGATACTTTGAATAGTAACTGTGATCTGTACTAAAATAATGTTGAATAGAGATAAAGTAATTGTATTTGTTTTTGGTTTCGTTTCTTTGACCTGTGTACTATATATTTTTTCTTTTTATTTGTTATTCTTACTTGGCTTTAGGTCGTTTAACGACCTAAAGCCAAAAAAAAAAAAAAAAAAAAAAAAAAATTAAATAAGAATAAAAAATAATTAATGTTACATTACATTTACTAAAGAAAACAGCAGAAACTCAGCTGCATTCGTTATCCGATGATACGATATTAATTTTATTGGTTGAATTTGATTGGTTAGAAAATTACGCAGTTTTAAATTTATTGCATTTCATGCCTCCGTTCATAGGATATACGATTTGCTTGTGATGGGTGTCATTTTATATTTTCATTTCGATAACGATTTCGCTGTTAATTTAGGAAAGCTGGTTCTTTAATAATTAATATATCTTATGCTCCCAGACAGAGTGGACGTAACCACCGTAATAACAATTTTGGGACGTTTAGAAACGCCGGTAGACGTTGCGTTCACTGCTGCATCATAATATATATGTATTCAACATCTGTTCACAACTGCTGTTGTTCACTGTACATCACAAATTCGCCCTTTATTTCAAGAACTAAGATTTAGGCTGGGACAAGGTGAATGTCGTTGATCGTCATTTTCAAACTAACTTGATGCCGCTATTTTGTATCGAACAATATGGTATTGTCGTGATCCTGGATTGGACCACCGTCGTCACCAGTCTTGTAGTCGCTGCCACTAAATGTTGTAGTTCTCTATTTGACTCGTATCACACTTGTTGGGAATGTTATTCTTTATTTTTTATAGATGCAATTCTTTACTGAGGTTATTTATTACTTTTTATTTTTAAACTTTTAATACAAAATATAAATTTGGCAGTATTACGTCTATGAAAATTTTTATGAATGTCCCCGGACCCTTCTGTGACCGTGCTTTTTTGAGAATGCCCTCTCCGAAAAACCACGGGCGTACCTACTATTTGCCGTAATATTTTCGAATTGGGTTTTGCAGAAGGGACAAACTTCATTTGTAAATTAAATAGAGGAAACCAGACGCAGTCTGTAAACGAATTACAAAGGGAAAACTAAAATGATGCAACTATTTATGAATATTTCTTCCAAATTTCATCTTAAGGTAGTGGTTCTGTTTATTTGCATCCCCCATCTTTCTGAGAAGAACAATAATGTTGATGGTATTTTACGTACCTTAAATTCTTTAGGCATAGTCGTAGAATAAGGGTAAAATAATATTTTATACAATTTGTCGAATATACATATACATATAACCATATTTAATGTATGTTCACAACACCTCCCCCATTAATGAGAGATTTCATGAGGGGAAATTGTTATGAAATCTCAAATTAAATGTTTATATAATTAATTGGTATAACTCAGATGGAAATGAAAAAGGGTACTGCATATATAGAAATTATTATACAAGTCTTAAACTACTAATTATAGCTAACCCATTTCTAACTTAACTAATAACATTTTTTTTTATAACTATTGCAGATTTAAAAATGTATCAAATGCAGGTATTTTTCTTATTGTTCATGATGGTGCATACTAGATTTTTGAGGGCATACTAATAAATTAACGTTATTCTCTCTCTTCTTCGGGGTTTTCATAGTTACCTACATTTTCAGAGTTTTGGCTAATATTACGATTATAATGAGCAACATATCTATCATATTTTATTTATTTCTAGAAGATGGTTCCACAGATTGATTAACTCTAATGCATAGGTTTGGAATAATTCCGCAACAGGCTGTCTTGTTAGGACATTTTGTATACAATTTATAAATAATAAAAATAATAGCAAAGAGGAGAGCTAAGATATAGGCAATTAGAGATGCTGGAAATGTATAATTGTTTACAAGTTCCTTTTTAGATTTCTTTTCAATATCTTCTAGCTTATGGCTCGTTACATTAAGTTCGGGGATGTTCTTTGTTAATTTCCTATATTGTTCGTTGAGAAATATTCCACTAATGTTTGCTGTTTATGCTTTAAACAATTGTATTTATTAAATTTATAAAAAAAAAAAAAAAAAAAACACTTGAAATATTGGACTGGACTGTATTTCCATGGGGGATTAGCATTGATGATGCGCTATAAGCTTTACTTTGTTTACCTATAGTGACACTACAGCAATTTTTTAGTATTACATCTACATGATTTTTTTTATTATTACATGAGAGTATCGTAAGAGGTTCTGGATGAGGAACTGCAAATAGCCAAGTGTTACTGGTTTGTAGTTGAATAAAATTGCTCTATCTGACTGAATTATACGTTTGTCACAGATATCAGGTATGATATTTGTGAATTGCAATAATTTAGCTGCATTCCTCACACCCAAATAGGCAAGAGAGCCTTTGGTTTTGTTTAACGCAAATAAATTTATTTTCTATAATTTTAAACAAGAGTATTAAATTCTATTTCCGACAGTGTAATAAACTGCTGTTTGCTTTCGTCAATTGATATATATTTAGATGAGGGTTGAATTAATATAAACTGGATTTATTTGACATTAATTTTGGAAAGTGATATTTATTTTATAAATATAGAATGGGAATTTGTTTCAATTAAAGGGATGTTTATAATATATATATTAATCGTTTGTTTCCGAAATAAACTTGCAACTCGATAACATTTAGAATTAGATTTGCATTGAGCGGATCTAATGGTACAGGAAATTCTAATCCAGGAGGTAGAGATTCGGACACATCTTTTAATTCGTTAATTAACCTTAATAGCGTTAATATTGAGGGGTGTAAAACTCCCTTTCTTTCTACTAAAATAGCATTCGTAATCGTCATGATTTCTATTTGTAATTGATTTAGCATCATATTTAAAATAGAGACGATTTTTCTATGCACGGTTTTATATATAGAGAGTAAATTTTCTTTGACTTTACCTTAATTCTCGCTAATCTTTTTTATGTAATATTATTTTTTTAATAGAATTTTCGTTAAAATCTAAAGTTACAATAGTATTGTGAAATTATTTATTGTTGATTGAACAATTTTTTGTTTGTTCTTTTAAAAGTTGAAGGACTGAAGTTTCGTCTTTATTCATTTGTGAAATTTTATCATTATAGTATTTAGCATCTTCTTCATCTAAAACGCCAAATAAAACTTTAGTTGCTTTTCCTACAATATTGAACCAACCTCGTTTTGTCTACTTTCTGATAAATGTCTATGACCGATCAATTCGTGTCTTCTAGTTTCTTTTCAATTTTTCAGAAATTAATATTTAGAACTTTTCAAAAATAACTGACAAATATAATAGTGATATTGAGCATTCTCATTATTGCATAAATCTGTAGTATACTTACGGTAATTCTTTAATGATAATAACTTATTATTACTAATATTTTCTAATTCTACAAAAGTTGCCTAGTTTCCATTTATTTATTAAAAAACCTTAGTTCGCCTAGGTGCTCAAAGTGTATTCCAGGGTTCAGGTCATAAGTGGTTATATTGTATTCTGAGTGGACTACTGCTTGGATACTGAGTATTATAAATTAATTAACCCTAAAACAAAGGAAATATATATACTAATAATAAGCTAATTAAAATTTATTAATTCTAGTTTTATAATCCTATATATACTGATTATGACTTTAGTTTAATAATAAAATATTTTAATCATTTTTTTTTTTTTTTTTTTGTTTGTTTATTTTTCCTTTTTGAATTGTATAATTTACATCTGATATTTTTATAATGGTATATGGACTAATCCATAAGGCGGAAAGTTTTTACTTCTGCCACGTCGAAATGATTCGTCGTAAAGTAACACTTTGTCACCAATTTCGAATATATTCTGGGTAACTGTTTTTATCATTAATTTTTTTGATGATATGTTTTACATTTTATGGTTTTCTTTAGCTAATTAC